GCGCTGCTACCTAGAATTCTGGAAAAAAATACCCATTCTAACAGTTATCAATCTATCGAAACCTTCCTTGTGAGCCAGCACACTGAGTAATGGCGCTGCTCTCAAAGGATAACGTCAAATATCAATATTATGCTTGCTTCGAGCGTAAACTAGTACCTCATATATTGGATTATCATTCTATTCTATCCTACTTAACACTGTCTTTCAGATTTTTATTATATAGACATTTTTTTTCAGTGGATTATATCTTATGTCAAAGTAAAAGAAACAAAAATTGCTCGAATGCCATTCAGAGACAAGAGATTGCGCCTTGAGACATTTTCAAATTCGCCATATTTATTTCTTTTATGTTAACTCAGAGATTTCCCCATTCATATATTTTCCATTAATACTCATCTCGGTTTTCTTCCGACAGCTTTTTTTTTTTTTTTTAAATTCTTTTCCCCCTCGATATTTTTTAATACATATTACTTATTCTTATTGTTCTTGTTTTATTCATTTAAAGTATCAAAGTATTTGATATGACAACTGAGGAGTCGAGTCGGCGATTAAACACGCCGTTTCGTTGTGCTTACAATTGTATTTTTTTTATCGGATCATACGAAGATATTTTGAAACCTGAGTTTTGGGTGTTTCGGCTTGGAAGATTTTTAATACATTCTTTCAGAATTATCGTTTCTGAACATTCTAAAATAGATACAGAAGCACCTCATAACTTATGTTCAATAATCTAACGTTTCTGTCATAATCTCGGATTCTCTTTCGTAAGATGATAGCAATAACTACAACAAATGATAATTCCCCAAGTCTGTACCTGCATCAATGTATATTTTTCTGCAAAGCTTATCTTAGTCTGACCCAGAGCCACAAGTGTGCTGCACATAGTAATAAATATCACAAGACATCAGTAATAGTCTACTAGACTATAACCCATGGTTAGGCGCCATAGATGATTTAATCTAATAATATTAGTGTTTAACATAGTCATCAATGCAGACCAGTTAATTTGTCTTATTGCTTTTATGAAATTACCTTTTTTTAGACTTGTTGATATTAACAGTCAGCAAGTTCCCACCGCCGTAACACTGTTTCCCTGTGTCTTTTCTATGAATATTTTCACGATAATTGTCCTGATGAGCTTTCCTCTCTGGGAGGAAACATTGTTGTGTCTCAATTTCTATGTTTGAGTGAGTGTTTGGTATTTAGTCCCACATTAATTTCGTCTGGTTAAGTGATGTTTCTGCCACAATTTAGGATCGGGTGGATTTTACTACTAAAACTATTTTGTTTTGTTTAGTAAATAGAACTTTTATACATGGTAAATACACATTGGTATTAGATTTTTCAAAAGTTATTTTTATCCTCTCCCTACAGACAAATCGTACATATGGGGATTAGCAAGGACTTCATAGAGATATTGTGGTATTATGGTGACTGTAGTAAGGAGGGAAAGTAAAAATGCGTTGTTTTGGTGAAAGGGATATTTTGGTATCTTTGGATCAGTGATTATGGATTGCTAAAGTTTAGATGAAAACCAGCTCTTTTTCCTCACCCCACCCCCGTCATGGCTATGAGCCACGTTTTTTTTGTATCATACAAAAATAAATATCGCTTAACTTTTTGGTACCTAGATTTTATGAATTTAAGCTTATTACTGAATTGGCGAGAAGGTTTCAGCAAAGACAGCATACACCTTAAGGTTACATCTAGCTCTTCTGACGCACTTCTTGCTTTCTAGTCTACTTTGATCTTCAAAAAGCTACATGCAATGTCAATCGTTATCTTCCGTTTTCTTAATTCCTGTTCTTTTATTGTTCTAAGATTTTATTTTTCTTATTCTCTCACAGTCAGTAACCCCTTGCCTTAGTGGCTTTATTGCCTTGCTTGGTGGTAAAAGGACTTAAAAATACAACGATAATCATTACTGAACATTGCAGCATTTACAGATATTTGACAAATTTTATTTAGCCTTGTGCCAGACTTCCAGTGAATAGTTTCTTCGACAAGCATATAAAACATTTTCTTACGACGTAATATTTGTACATAATACATTCTTGCTATTCATAAGGTTTTTCTTTTATGTCACGTCCTTTCAGGAAGTACTCGGCTATGCCTCTCCAGGACTTCGTTTTTCATTGACACTTTACCATCACTTGGTTCTACCATCCAATTACGCAAATAAATGGAATAGATTACTGGCTGTCTCCCCTCGTTTTTTGCCTTGTCCATTCGAAAGTGTTAGATTCCCCAGGTTCTGTCCTCGTGTGTCCCAGAAATATGTATTTTTGATTTTAAGTATAATTTTCTCTGCAGTTCCTATTTTCCTTGAAATCTTCCACGTTTCTCACATGCACTGCCTATGTTATTCCCAGCATTCGTTGGTAGAATCAAATCTGTGGTTTCATGCTTTTTACATCTGAGAAAAAAAAAAAAAAAATTAAAACTGCTCTATTACTCACCACAAAGAACCATCCCTGCCCCCCCCTAGAATGTCTGACGCTTAACTCCACGAGCTCGGTCTCACATTGTCTGCTGACCTGAGATGGAACAAATACACCGAGTCAATAGCTTTGTCCACCGCAAGGAAAGTTGGCTCCCTGTGCCGAGTCAGGAAATTTTTCTCGCCGGAGTCGATCCTTCAAATCTACATATCAACAATTCGCCCTTGCATGGAGTATTGCTGCCATATATGATCTGGAGCCCCTGTTTGTCTAAAGGTCCTTGATAAAATCCAGAGACGGATATGCAATGTAATTGGCCCTGATCTGGCATCTCGTCTGCAGCCGCTCTCTCACAGACGTGCCGTTGCCTCCCTCTGTCTTTTTTTTTTTTTTTTACAAATTCTTTCATGGTAACTGCTCCGATGAGCTGCTTCATGAATTTAAGCGTTCAACTAGGCTGGCATCTCGCTCTCACTCTTTAACTGTCGAAACTGTTAAATGTAGCCGTCTCTTCTACTTCAATAGCTTCATGTCTCGCACTTTTCACCTGTGGAACTCCCTCTTTTCCTGTGTGCCTGATAGCTATAATCTCCAACTATTCAAATGTAATGTCAATCGACGTCTCCAGATCTATCCCCTATCCTTCTCTTCATCCTTTCCTCTATTACTCCTCTTTGCTCTAGGCCCAACTTTCTGTAACCCATTGCCTGCTAGTGGCTTCCCGCCTTGAGATGAAACGCTTAAAAAAAAAAAAAAATCAAAAAGAAATGAAAAAAAGACAAAAACGTTACCATACAGCTTAAATATCAGAGTTAAACACTATTAAGTTCTTATTAAAACTTCTGTCCACGGTATTAGCATTTACTAGCAGAACCACATCTTTCGCTTGAAGCGAACCCATAACTTTTGCCGATTGTCATGAACGACTGTTTCCTCAGCGAGGCTCGGCGCCAATTGGGACCTAAACTAAACCCAGACCTCAAGTTATACCCGTACATACGATACATCGATAAACATACTGGAAAAAAAATATTCGTATCTCTGCTGCCATATCATCGCCGATCGAACCCAGTACGGTCACCAATTGCGACGGATGATTCCTTAGGGAGGCTCCCTGCCTTGAGCGCCTATTGGGACAAACTAAACCCAGACCTCAAGTGGTACGCATACATGCGATCCATCGATAAACATGCTGGAAAAAAATGATCGTATCCCTGTACCACTCCAGCAAGCACTGGACTTATCTTGCTCTTCTCTACATTTAGAAGAGCCAGATCAGACCGAAAATGAAGTACTGCTGTTATACATGGGCGGAAGCTACCCAGTCTTCACTTTCCATGTCCAAAAGCGTCTCCGCGTCCTTGTGGGCGACGAATTATTTTCCACTCTACAATCCCTTTCTCGCAGTACCGGGTATTGAACTCACACTCTTTGGGTTCTGTCACCTCAAGGACACATGGCACAGGGGATAAAGGCGTTAGTTAGATCCAGTGACAGGATCGAAAGAGTGTGAGTTCAATACCCGGTTAAGGCAGTGGAGAACTTGAAGGGGGGAATTAACAAGAGATAACTGACATGGCACGTGGAACTAGAACAGTCTACCCCAGTGAGCGAGATAAAGGGTTCAGTTCGATATTCCAACCACCTGAAGAAGGCCGGAGCGTACAACGGCCGAAACGTAATAAATATGGCGACAAAGATGGGGACAATATAATAATGTATATAGTGTACATAATTCCTTATTTCAGAAATATAGACAGTCCAATTTTTATGTATCCAAGAAATTTCAACAGTGTCTTTCTGATTCTGAGTATAACTATCCTTTGTTTTCATTTTTCTTAGAACTCCCTAATTACTGATGTGTTTAAGTGTTGTGGTTAGGCGAACGAAAAGTTTTTCTTTTCCCACGTATGAGTCCGAACACCTCGTCGCCAAAATGTTGGAGTATTTTCACAGTGGAGGCTTGTATTTCTAATAAGTCGTCCTAAATTAGGTCTGACGTACAAAACGTTAGGAACTTGGAAAATAAGAATCAATGGCGCAGTAATCTAGTTGTGATGGTTGGTACTTCAAATGTCCGAATCTCGACTGACGCGCTCAACACCATTCTGCCAGACTTGCCACTGCTACTACTTATCTATGGGAGAGTCCATTACAATAGAATAGGTACTATGGAATAACATTAAGTCTATGGTATTCTCAACATCTTTCTTCAAAACTCCATTTTGTTGCTGCGAGTTTATTTTTTTTTTTTATCTGGGAGTATTCATTTGCTTGATTTGTTTTCTGTGGCTTAACCGTTTGCTGCTTATTTAAAGCAAATATTTAAAAAGAAAATATTTTTAGAGATTCTAATAATTTTTTTGCTTTATTTGGCAGGATGGAGATAATAGCTTAGTGATAATCATCTCATTAATTAAACCATAGCTGAAGGAATAGTTGATTCTGACCTTTCCCAAAAATATTTGCGCGTAAGTGAATATAACAAACTCCACAGGAATTGGAACTCCTCTCTCCGATTAAAAATTCGGAGCCATTAACACCATCCGAAAATCCAAGCTTACAACACCTGGTAATCTTAAGCGGTCACCCATTTAGGTGCTGACTAAGCTCGACGTTGCTTAACTTCGGTGATTGTACGGGAACCGGTGTTTTAACGTGACGTGGCCATAAGCTTTTCATCTGCGAGGAGATTTGTTTTTACAGTAAAGTTTTCCCCCTTTACAAGGGCCACAGTTGGGGGGGGGTAGAGGGTTACGTTAGGAGTCCATTTGTGTGTATAGCAGTGGAAGATAATGGTTAACCTTAGCATTGAACAGGTTAAGATTGTAGTGATCGGGGTAACATCCTGATGGGAGTCGGTTCCACGGGGCAGTCGCTCGCGGGAAGAAGCTACTCAGGTGGAACTTACCGATTGAATACGGCCGGGAATAGGTCTCATTTTCTACTATGTAAGTGGTATGGTGAGATCATGCCGTGAAGGTTAGATTTGGCGGGACCAGGGTATGTAGTTCGTCCGAGCACTTTCCGTGGAAGTAGCGGTAGAGCAGCGGGAGGCTTTCCGCTTGTGGTAGAGAGGGTGGAGAATAATCAGTCATCCACAATGGTTCGGAGACGCTTTTGAACTATCAAGACTGAAGACTGAGGTCTGGGTAGCTCCCGCCCAAGTATGACAACAGTATTCCATTTTAGGCCTGACCTGGCTCGTGCAAAAGGTAGACGATAGCAGGAGGAGTCGAATACTTACTGGAGCAGTATAGGGAGCCAACCATTTTACCCGCATCCTTAGTAATGGATAGTATGTACGAGTTCCACTTGAGATAGAGTTTGAAGCCCAACAGTCTTTCAAGGAACGCTGCTTCCGAGAAGACTTCCGTTCATCTTGATTGGTGGTAGTTCCGGGTCAGATCGGCGATGATAGAATGTAACTAGCCTAATCTTCGAGGCATTGAATGTAACCAGCTAGTTTGTACTCCATTGGGAACTTTGTGCAAGATCGGAAGAGAGATGTCGCCAATCTAACTATCAAGAGTTTTAGAGGTGCGCCGGTATATAGTAGTTTCATCGGTATATTCTTAGGCAGATTATGTAGATCAAAAAGAAGGTTGGTCAGAGAAGTGACCTCTGGGGGGGGGGATGCCTGCGTTGACCGCTAGGGCTCCGGAAGACAGGCCATTAATAACTACCTTCAAGGACCTACCTGCTAGGAAGACACTTCCAGTGATTCCATAACTGGAGAGCTTGTGTAGTAAACCTTTGTTGAAAATCTTTGAGATATTTAATGCTATGGTCCTCGGAGTGTGTCGTCAAGAACCTCACCGATTCTGTGAGTGTTGGTAGTTAGGACGTCGGCAGTGGATCGGGCCGACTGAAAACTGTACTGCTCGTCGCTGAAGAGATTTTACTTTTCTAGGTAATCGATGAGCTTGCCGTATAGGAGAATTGATATTACATAACAGTTCAGCACTTATTTTTTCTTTCTAACGAACATTTCCTGTTAATATTTTTGCTTTACTTTTCGATTGCATGTTCTAAAATACACCTGCTTGGGAACGACTGGTTTCCGAGTGTCTCGCATTCACTGCGTCAGATTACATAGCCGCCCAGCACTATTTTCATTGTTTATAACGAAATTTTCCCAAACATAAAATTAGCTTCGTCTGGGACAAGGCCGGAATATTGCCCCAACAGTAGATTGAACGCATTAGTAAGAGACTGAGAGTAGCTTGTTCAACATCACTTCTCACCCCGTAAAAATCCTTTGTTGGATGTAGGCCTCCTCAAGATTCGGTGGGGGGGGGTGTCGAGAAGGAGGCCATTACCCTACCGCGCTGACCCAATGAGTGTTGGTAGGGGCGGATGTGACACACTTGGGTGATCGTGTCTCACTCAATTATATTTGCGCGTAAATGAATGTAACGAACTCGACTGGAATTCGAACACCGCTTTCTTTCCTTACAGCACCTGGTCAAAAGAAATTCGTTCACATTTAATTTTTCAAATTTTTCTTTTTCCCCTTAACCAAGTTCGCAAAACTTGTTCATATTTCTTTCTTTTACACACTCCATTCACAATTTTGGCTTTACCACCCCTTCTTCGTCAAACTCTTCGCCTTATTTTCGCCATCTTGGATATTTCATTGACAGTTTCATTTTTCCTTAAATACTCCGGTTTTGTCAGTCTTTCATTTTAGATACTTCATTTACAATTGTAGCTTTTTCTCATCGTCAGATTCACCAGCCTCATTCATATTTTTCTTTACCTTAGAAACTTCATTCAGTTTCAACTCCCCGTTCTTTCTCACCAAACACTGCAGCCTTAATCAACTTAGGCATTTCAAACATGTCTAACTAGTCTTTCTCCATTATTGCTTACGCGATCCAACCAGACTGCCACCCATTACCCCGATCGTCCGACAACTTGACACCTACTGAAATTGGCAACTCAGGAAACTCAACAACCCGAGTCTTTAATGCAACGCTCGAGCTGAAAGTACTCAAGTCCCATTGGTTCACACTTAAAGCGCAGATTTTGTGATGTCATCAACGCGCTCCACACCGAATTAAACTTCCGGTTGGAATTCTTCAATTACAAAGATAGTTTTAACTAGCTCGAAATGGCGCGCACGAGTCAGTAGGTTGACGACGCCTTAGTCGTTTCAAATTTCTACATTTTAGTTATTTTTAAAATCGCGACAAAGCTTTCTTTTTTTGCGCATGCGTACGTGTGCATATTATGGGCTTCTGTGGGTTTTGCTGTGTGCGTTTTCTTTTTTTAGATAATTTTGTTTTTGTGCACTTTGTAAAAAGTGTTCAGGTTAAGAAAAGAAATATAGTGGAATCGATATTCAAGATGGGGTTGGGGTGTGAAAAAGATCTCGGATGAGAAGCCGTATGAAACGAGGATAATATTTAACACCTTGACTACAGTTAATGATAATAGAGTTAATTATTAACACAAATGATGATACTGGTAATTATTGTGTCGGATCGGGAGAAACAATACGAGAAAGACGATAGTGGATTCTGAAGCTGAACTGCTAAAAAGAAAAGAGAAAAAAGCAAATGTGATGACGAGTAAGACGTAAAAATCCTAAAAGGCAATTCTAAGAAAGATTGGTGGTTCACCATAAATTAGTTAGCAAGGTTAATATCGTAGACCATTAATGTTGCGAATTCGATGAAATCCAGTACTGTAGTGAGTTCGACTATCGTTAAATTTAAGCTTAAAGGGCGTGTTCTGGAGGGAAAACTTGTGGAGAACTTACTCGCAAATTTCGTTAGATCTGGCCTTTTTTTTTTTTTTTTTTTTTTTTTTAGACGCCTTTCATTTGTGTTAGTGAACCAGAGCGAGCTCGATATTAGTGATCAGATTTCTGTATTACCATAATAGACAAAAAAAATAGCACGTCGTAGCGCAGTACCGTTAAAAGACTTTGGAAATAAAACAATTTTCACTTAAATCTAGCAACCAGTTTGCGTATTTTTAAATATGATTCGAGTTTATATATCAATCAATTGGAAAACGTTTATGAAAGTATATTTGTTTCGAAATATATCCCATCATGCATTTCACTCTTTAAGGCTTCATCAGATCCAAAAGCGGAAATTTAAAACTTTGTCGGATCCTATATCCTAATTTTAAAAACATACTGTCGACATATAAAATGCATGGAGAGATATATATATATATATAACAAAAAAAAAAAAAAAAAAAAAACAACTTTCAACTCATTCTGAAAAAGGTGCAAAATTAATTTCAACTTCATCCACCGCGACGCGAATGAGTCCGAACTTTTATTGTCGATAACTCCAAAACAGTAGATTTTTATCAAAATTTCTTTGTTATTTTCAAATTAAGCTTGTAGATTTACACCTAAATGAAACTATTCGGGAAATATTTAGTAAATACTGAGCGCAGAGCTTGAACTTCATATTACTCTAGAGTTGAATTTTACTTCTGAAAGCTTATATCTTTCGACTCGAAAACTGAAAGTAAAAGGAAAACGTTAATTACATTTTTTGTAAGGAAAATTACAACAATTTAGCACAGGACTGGTAAAAGGTTGTCTATTTGTTTGGATGAACAAGACAAAGCAAATTTAGTCTCTAGTAGCTGATGACGATTCCAAAATTAGGATTATTAGATCCTAAGACTAAATTTCCTTACATCAGTTCCAAATTTGGTGAGACCTTTCAATCGTAATCCATTTCCTGGCTTGTTCCTCAGCCTGATAATACTGTTTGAAACCCGTTATAATTATGAGAGAAAGTGAAGACTAAGCTTTGTAAAATTATTTTTATGTATATAAAAAAAAATATGAAGGAAAGTGAAAATTGTTGAATCATCTTGTTCAGGTGGGTAAGAACTTGGTTTCGCTTTCAAAGGGAAGCGACATTTTATATTACAGAATTATGGAAATAGGAGAAATTGAAACGAAAAAGGAACGGGGTGGATTAGTATAATAATCTTTCTAGCCATATAAAGAGAAGAGAAAGACAAAAGCAAGAAATGCAAGGACGAAAAAGTTGGGGGGGGGGGCACATGAATAGACGAAAAATAGAATAAAGAAAATGAATGTGGATTTTAATGATGAAAGATGTACAAAATATACCAAGAGAATTAAAAGATAAAATGAGAGAAGTATAAACATTAAAATGAAAAGCTTAGTTTACTAAGTTGATTATTGAATACACTTAATGACGATTACAGCTATAATTAATATCGCATTTAAAGTAAGAAGTTGGGACTCTAGATCTGTAAGATAGTTCATTTTGGACATCTGTTGAAAAATTCTTTTACTATAGAAACAGCAATGGTATCACTTGGTGTAGTTGCAGCAGCTTTTAATATATTCCACAAAGGGCCTGCAGGTATTAAAAAAAAATTAAGAAAATGGAATATGAAAGGTGAAGATTGTACCCATCATTATCGACACAATTTGAATTGTCCCGAAGATCTTTGGAAAAAAGATTAGAGAATTAGAATAATCAGGTTGAAGAATTTAAACTATTCAGAAAACAGTTTAATTGAAATCGATCAAAATAGAGATTTCATGATAATAGTTGTAGCTTGAGTCTTGGAGATCCATCGGGTGTTTGTATGAAAACTCAAGCAATAATGAAACCAATCTTGAAATATTTGACGAAAGTGAATATTTTGCAAATTA